AGACAGGGTTTCTCTGTGTAGCTTTGTGCCTTTCCTGGGACTCCCTTGGTAGCCCAGGCTGGCCTCGAACTCACAGAGATCCGCCTGGCTCTGAGTGCTGAGATTAAAGGCGTGAGCCACTGCCGCCACCGGCCCGGCTTTTTTTGAACTCTTCTAATGATTTATTTATTTATTTATTTATTTATTTGGAGCTGAGGATCGAACCCAGGGCCTTGTGCTTGCTAGGCAAGTGCTCTACCACTGAGCTAAATCCCCAACTCCCACACCTGGTTTTTTAACTGGGACCTGGAGGTCACACTCAGATCATCATGCTGTGAGGCAAGATTGAGCCATCTCTCCAGCCCCCGCCTCTTCCCCCCTAAAGAAGCAGTTCTCACCAGTCATGCCCTGACCAGCAGGTGAACCAACACTGTCCACACGTCCACATCCGGGCTCTCAGCCAGCAGGTGGGACGGTGCATGGGCTGGCCCGGCCTCTGTCTGGAGGGATGATTGGCTCCTCCACCACCCCTCAGGGGCGGGCTGCATCCTGAGAGCTGTGGGGACAGAGCACATGGTGGAGAGGAGGCAGCAAACCTGGATGAAGCTCTTCTGCAGGTCCTGGGTGCTCATACCTCGGCCTAGACCTGGGACTCTGGGCCAGGCTGTGCCGCAGACCACCTCCCACACTCAGATCACTGGCTTCTGCCCTTACTGGTCAAGATTTTTCCTCCCATTCTATTGCTGGTCCTCTCATCCCTCTGCCTTTGTTTTCCTGTTTAATACCTTATTAATAATATTATATATGTATTCTTACTTGTTACTATTTTAGTGCTATAAATACTTATACAATAAATTTCTATCAAGGAACTACAACATACATTTTCACTATATCACTTTCAATTTATTTTTGTTATTATTTTTTAGTGTTAGTGGGTGTTTTGATAGCATGTATGTTTTGACATCATGTGTATATCTGATTCTCAAGGAGACCCCTAAAACTAGAATTACAGATGGTTGTGAGCTAACATGTGAGTGCTGGGAATTGAACCTGGGTCCTCTGGAAGAGCAGCAAGCATTCTTAACTGCTGAGATATCTCTCCAGCCCTATCACTTACTTTACAGAGGAAAAAAAAAATTGAGGTTCAGGGACATTAAGTAATTTACCCCAGGCTATGAAATGAGGAAATAATACCCCAGGGCACTGCAACCCAAGACGTCTGTAACCCAGGCCAATTTTGTCACCTCGAGTTGCTAAGTCATTATGACACACCTGCCTGCCTCTCCCTGGGGCGATCTTATACTTCCTCTCTGCCTGGCTCTGAGGCCAAGTATGGACCCTTCTTCCTGCAGGCCTTCACCAAAAGCATCAACAGAGACAAGCACTTGGCAGTGGCCTACTTCCAGCGAGGGATGCTCTACTACAGCATGGAGAAGTAAGTGGTCCAGGGCTACCCACCCTGGGCGAGAGTGACAGCCAGCCCAATGGGGCTCTGTGCTGGTATACCAAGTATTCAGTAAGTACCCTCCAGGCTCAGTGGGAAGGAAGGATGGCTAGCTTTTTCTGGGCAATTATGCAAGAAATAGCATGCAGGAGGCATTTCTGTAAGTCACTGGGCCCAACCACAGTGAGCTTAGGTTGTTTAGCTGCTGGGCCTCACACCAGTGTCCAAATGAGGACACCCACCGTGCCTCTCTGGGAGGGACTCAGCAGTCCCCAAACAAGGGTCACTACGAAATCAAATCAGCCCTGGCTTCAGCCCTGCAAAGCCCAGTTTAAACTATTGGGTGGGGGTGGGGGTAGAACCCCATCACAAAAATAAGAATACAAACTGTTAGCAGCGTGTGTATCAGTTAATACGGACAACTAGTATATATGTTCCAGTAGAAAAAAGTCGCGCAGTTGATGGCAAATTTTGGTAGCCCAGGCTGGCCTCGAACTCACAGAGATCCGCCTGCCTCTGCCTCCCAAGTGCTGGGATTAAAGGTGTGCCCCACCACCGCCCAGCTCAAAAAGAGGTTTAAAAACATTTCATTAGCACAAAACCCATTTGTTGCACAGACTGTGGACTGGAAGAGCACAGGCCAATGTATCATTCTAGATGTTTCTGGATGGTGGGATGATAGTGAGTCCCTTTCCCTCTATCACATTGTACATGTTTGGGGTTGTTTACAGCCAATAAAACAGTACACACACACACACACACACACACACACACACACACACACACACACACACACATAGGAAAAGGAAAAAAAAAAAGCCAGACATGGTGGCTCATGCCTTTAATCCCAACACTCAGGGAGGCAGAGGCAAGTGGATCTCTGAGTTCGAAGCCAGCCTGGTCTGCAGAAGGAGCTCCAGGATAGCCAGAGCTGTTACACAGAGAGACCCTGTCTCGAAAAACAAACAAAACAAAAAGTAAAAAGACAAAAATGCAAAATGAACTCTAACTTCAACCCCCTACTGTCTCCTCAGATGCCCAAAGAACAAGTCGATAAATAACAAAGGGATAATATTCAAAATGTGAGTTTCAGGTGTTTGGGGCAAAGGCAGACAGAAAACTGACTCTGCAAAGTGTCTGCCTGTGTGTGCACAAGTTCAAGGGAAGAGGAAGCTGGCTGAGAGGAAGGAGGAACCCTCCAACAGTGAAACCAGTCCAGGCATGGTGTGGGTGGGGCACCGGGCATTGACGGGGACCCCGGAGGCTGCAGAGGAGGGAGCTGGATGGTGAATTCCCGGACCATCTCAAGCAGATCACGGAGATGGGGATCTTTAAGTCACTCTAGAATATGAATCAAGGGAACAAGACAGGTGCCTGGAAAATTGATTTGGAAGCGAACACTGTTGTCCTCGTGACAAATGAGGGTCTGACTCAGGGTGGCGCTGGTGAAAAGGATGAGAAAAGTGGATTGCAGAGGTGGTCACCCCGGCAAGGTCTGGGACAGGCGTGTTCTGAGTGGATTCTGCCACAACCGATGGTAGCTGGCTGGTTACGGAGGGAGGGAAGGACTCTGAGAGAGAGCGGGCCCTTAAGGTTCACAAATGGACTTCCATGTGCAAGCCCCCCTAAAACCAGGTGTGTGTCAGTGAAAACACTACCTAGGGACCGAGCGAAAGAAAGGAGATAGTTTGGATTTGAGAATATGCCAGACTTATTATTATTTCCTCACTAGAGAGCCGCAGAACTAAAGATTAGATTTGGTAGATTATTGTTCTCCAACTTAACGGTTATCATTCAGATTGAGTCCCGCATCTTATTCCTGGATCTTTCCCATCCACATCCCCTCTTTCTTCCTCCCCCCACCTCCCGTCAACCTCTCCGCCTCTCTTTGCTTTAAAGCAAGGTTTTATGTAGTAAAGTCTGTTAGCTGAGGATGACCTTGAATTCCTAATGCCCTGCTTTCAATTCCCAAGTGCTGGAACTACAGGCATAAGCTATAATATCTGATTATTTTAGTTCTAGATTTTTTTTATATATATATCATTCAAAATCTTAGCCTTCCAGCTCTAGGACTTGCAAATATTTTCATGTATTAACTCTTTCTGGCAGCTTGTCCTCTTCTACTGTTTCTGTACCATAGGTTCTTAGAGCTAATGGAAAGGAAGGCCTTGGGGTTTGTCTTTTGAGGTTAAACACGCAGGGGTTGGGGGGTGGGGTGGGCTGGGCTGGGTTGTGGCTGGCCTCTGTCTATATTCTGTAACTTCTGGAGAAGATACTGAGCGCCGGAAGTGGGGATGAGAAGAGAATATTGAGACGTGAGCAGCCACACTGTCTGTAGAGGCAGCCACCTCCGCCTTCCCCCTACCCCAGGCCCTCTCTCCAGAGGGGCTCCGTGTCCGTGGATTGTCTTCCAAGGAGACTTTCAGTTTCCTCTCACAAAATCAGGTGACTGACCACATCTACACCTTTGAAGTTCCCTGAGCACTGGTGGTTGCCCTTAGCAACAGCTGAGCACTCAACCTTCCAGGCCCACGACACCCTCAGATCAAAGCCTTCCACCTTCACTCACCAAACACAGACTTGGCCACTTTGCTCATTGGCTGGCCAGTAGATCGATCGATCGATCCCCATCGATCCCCATGATCTACCTGTCTCTGTCTCCCCAGACCTGGGATTACAGGCACATGCCACTGCCACCCTTGGCTTTTTTTTTTTTTTTAAGATTATGTTATGTGTCCAAGTGTTTTGCCTGCAGGTACATATGTGCATCACGTGCCTGCCTGGTACCCATTGGAGGCCAGAGCTTGCATCAGATCCCCTGCAACTGAAGTTATGGGTGGTTGTTGTAAGGATTCTGTATATGCGAAGCTCGGGGGGTCTTGTCCCAGCCTAAAAGCCGGATGTGCGCCCCCATGTTCTCTCTCTCTGAGCCTCTCTCTGCTTCTCTCTGGCTCGCTCTGGCTCTGGCTCTGGCTCTCTCTCCTTCTCCTAATAAAGCTCTAAAAGGCACCACTGGGTTCTGTTGTGACTGTAACCAGCGCTGCCGCGGTAACCAGCGCCTTTACCCTTTCAGTTGTGAGCCACCATGTGAGTGCTCGGAAGGAAATCCCAGCACTCGGAGGCAGAGGCAGGTGGATCTCTGTGAGTTCGAGGCCAGCCTGGTCTACAGAGCGAGATCCAGGACAGGTACCAAAACTACACAGAGAAACCCTGTCTCGAAAAACCTAAATAAATAAACAAATAATGTTGCTGGAGGGCTTCTCTCCAGGTTCCACCAAGCCCCGCAGTCCCACAATGCATGTATAAAATAATCACTCAGACGCTTATATTATTTATAAACTGTATGGCCGTGGCAGGCTTCTTGCTAACTGTTCTTTTATCTTAAATTAACCCATTTCTATAAATCTATACCTTGCCACGTGGCTGGTGGCTTACCGGCTTCTTTACATGCTGCTTATCCTGGCGGTGACTGCAGTGTCTCTCCCCCTTCTTCCTGTTTCCCCAATTCTCCTCTCTCCTTGTCCCGCCTATACTTCCTGTCTGGTCACTGGCCATCAGTGTTTTATTTATATAGAGCGATATCCACAACAAAATAACAAACAAACAAACAAACAAATGGTGATCTAGAGAGGTGCCTGAGTGCTGAGTGAGTTGGGCGTTCCTTCCCACTGCAGTGGGGTTCGTTTTAACAGGGTCACACCAAGGAAGGCTCTTCCCCCTCGGCCACCCACTCACCTGGCTTCTGTGTCGTGTTGCTTTCTCACCGCCTTCAACTCTAGCAGAAAGTCAGAGGCGTTCCCAAGCAACAGGTGGTATCCCAGGACGACTCCCTCCCGCCCATCAAACGTCTCTGTCTCTAGCTTCATCATCCCGAAGAGGGAGGGTCTGTACGTGGGTCTCCTGGGCCTTAGGGCTGTGGAAATAAAAACACAGCGAGACCTTTCAGAATAAGGTGGAGCTGACCTAGAAAGGGGAGGAGGCAAGACTTTCTTCCTGCTGGGCTGAAGGTGGGAGGATTGTACCTGTCTACCTGTTGGAGTTGCACGGGCAGCATCCTGAGACTCTGATACCCCGAGGAGTGTGAGCATGCGCTCTGGGATTCTAGACTCTGTGTGTGTGTGTGTGTGTGTGTGTGTGTGTGTGTGTGTGTGTGTGTGTGTGTGTGTGTTGGTAGCAGAAGCAAGCAACAGCTTCAGCAGTTTCTAAGGTATCTTTGCAGGGCTTGCTACAGAAAAGGCAAGGAAAAGTCCTCTGGAGCAGAGAGCCTCTCCCGCCCCCGCCCCCCCCCCCATGTGCCGCCCGGGGAGGCAGTGTGTGTGGCTGCTTCTTGGCAGACTTCTTAGGAAGCTTCCAGATGGCACAGAGGAAAACTTTGAAGGAGGCCAGCAGGATCCAGGGCTGAGCCTCTTTCAGGCTTCTCCTAAGAACGGATCCTATTCAGACCTTTGCACTTGGCTCCAGAGCTGTGGGAAAGCCGAGCTCCTCACCATGGGTGCAGCCGAGGTCCGCAAGTACAGGGGTGAGGAAGGAGAGGAGCGGCAGCAGGGTAGGAGGGAGCTGCCGATTTGTGTAGATGATTTGTGCAAAGGCAAGTTTAAAACCGGACACTAGGGCCGGGGATACTGCTTGGTCGGTGGAGAGCTTACTTAGCATGCAGGAAGCCCTAGGTCACTTGATCCCCAGCATAAACTAGGTACAATCCAGCATTCAGGAGGTGGGACAGGAGGATCAGAAGGTCAAGGTCATTCCAGGATACATACTAAGTTTGAGACCAGCCTGGGATACATAAGACCCTATTTCAAAAAATAAACCACAGCAACAAACGGACTTTAGTGGGGTTAACCCCACCCAGCTTTTTTCACACAAAACCAGCCCTGCGGGTTATGCGTCCTTTATTGTTCACACTGTGGATATCTTGATGAGACAGAAAATGACATGGAGGGCTTTGCTGAGTCCAGACTACAGTGCCAGGTAGAGTCGGGGCATCTCCACAGCTGAAGTCTGCCTGCTCCGCCAGCTCCGCGGGGAGCAGGGCCCATTTCTCGGTTAGCGCCGCCGATACACTTGAAGCGTACCCTCTGAGATGTCCCCTGCCCCCTCCCCAGCCGGCTGTGGAACACAGTGGAAGCTGCCTCTGCTCAGGGAACAGGCCACCTGCGCCTCCACCTGCTCCCCTCCTTGCTGCAGGGAAACAGCCAGCCGCACACAGCCTGTGCGTTTACAGAGAGCGGCCAGCCCGGGAAGCCCTCTTCCTCCTCCTTTACAGGGTGGTGCGGGAATCACTTCTCCCGCTTTCCCAAAGTGTGAACAGGAGGCAAGAGGCTGCCAAGCCAAGAGCTAAGCCGAGCTTAGCAGAAGACACAGAAGGCTGTGGGCAGGAGGAGGGTGCCCGCAGCTGTTGCTGTGCTGTGGAACCCCTGGCTGGCAGCTGTGCCGGGCAGGTCTGACCTTGAACGAGGGTGGTGAGGGCCGCCCTGAGACTCTTCCAAAGGGAAGCAGGGTGGGCAGGTGCGGTACCGCTGGGGGTTCTCCAGTGAGGGTGAGAGCTGCGTTGGAAGGTCACGGGGTCATCAGAAGGTGGGCAACGTGTTTACAGCCCATAGAGAAGAAAATCCCCATTACTGTCATAGACTGAGGGTCTCCAGTGTGCAAAAACCACACCTCGTCTGTAGAGTGTTCAGTCTCAGGGTTGGTGAAAAGGTAGAATTGGTCAAACAAAATAGCAGTGGGATGGATGGAGACCGGAGAAGCATACATGTACTCTGCATTTCTTTCTCCATGACCTAGATGGACTGACGTACTTCTCCCCCTGTCCTGCAGATATGACTTAGCTATCAAAGACCTTAAAGAGGCCTTGACTCAGCTTCGAGGGAATCAGCTGATAGACTACAAGATCCTGGGGCTGCAGTTCAAGCTCTTCGCCTGTGAGGTAAGGCGCCCGGGCAGGGGTGGCCTGGAGAGGACATTCAAGAAACACAGTGATCTATTAGCACCCAAGGAGACTTGCTGACGTCATGCTGACACCTGTGCCCAGAGACCCAGTCTCCCTGTTAAGAAAACACCCCGAGCTCAGGTGGCTCAGGTGTTCCCTTAGCCCTCTGGCCCTTGTGAGGCCCAGGACCTCAACATTGACCAAGGGAGGGAATGAGAGGGAAGGGAGGAGGGGAGGAGGGGAGGGAGGTTCAATGCCTTCAGGCTCCTCACAGAGTGATTAGGTACCCGAGAGTGAATGTTTTCTTAATTTCAGACTCAAAAGTCTGTGCAAACACAAGCTCATTGTGTGCTCTGAAGGGAGACCAGACAGGAGTGTGCCGGCCTGTGAGCAAGCGAGCGTATTTGCAGCAATTTGCATATTTTATTTAGCAATTCAAGCTGGCAGGCTGTTTGCTCAGCATTAGATCCAAAATCACGGGTTCTCTGTCAGAGGAACCCACTGTATTGTTCTCTGTCAGAGGAACCCATTGTAACCCATCTGGGTACTTGGTTAACACTCAAAGAGAGGCTGCGGGTCATTTGGTACAAATCTGTCAAAGAACAGCACCAAGCACCCGGTGCGGGATGATGGTTCTCCAAACAAGGACAACCTCTTTCCCGTATTACCAAAAAGGACAGGCGTGGCTGGCTTTGGCTTGTGAGTTTATGAATTTTTCTTCCCCCCAAAACCTTCCCTATCAAACTTCCAAACATAAACCAGTGGCTTTAAAAATGAAACCCCCACCCCCACCCCCCCAATGTCACGTCACGGACCTTTATTTAGAAGCATTGCCGAACAGACGTCGTCGTCTCTTCTGCTTCAGTTTCTCAGGCACAAGAAGCAGAGTGTTCCGAGGGTTGCTCAGAGCTGTGAGTAAAAATAGATTCTATCCCTGGGGCTGTGTGGCCCATCCTGCCCCGCAGCAGGCACCCAGCTACGCCGCCCGCCATGGCTCACCAGGGAAGATGGGACTCTGCTCTGGGAATTGGCTGGCATGAGACCAGTTCCCCAGTGGGAGCAGACACTTTGTTTCAGGGGCTGTCCTCGGGGGATTGTTGGCCCTCTGGCCTCTTCTCACTCGACGATGCCAGGAGCATCCCACCTCACCTTGAGATGGCCAAAATGGTCCCCACACATTGCCATTCACCCTGCTGAGGGCCGCTTGCCACTCACACCTGTGAAGGGGGAGGGAGCAGGCAGTTCCCTGAGGTGGCAGGCAGGGGAACTTCACAGGAGGGAGTCCCCAGTGTGGTTAGGGGTGAAATGACCCAGTCATTTCCCCACTCACGCCATTTCCTGTGAGGGCGCCTCAAGGGCCTGGAGTCATAAAGACTGGTTATGGGGAAAAGACAAGGTAACTGAGAAAAAGATAAGAACAGCTTTAAAGCTCTTTGCAAGCTCTTCTCTGTCCTCACATGTCATGGCTAGGTTAGGGCAGCCAAGTTTGTGCCAGATGTTTCTCAACTTAGGACGACAGGTTCTGTCCAAATTACCTCCCCCCCACCGCCCGCCTTCTCTGTCTCTTTTCTCTTTCTCTGTCTCTCTCTCTCTCTGTCTCTGTCTCTGTCTCTGTCTCTCTCTCTCTTTATCTCCCTCCCTCTTTCTGAACAGGACTCTCATAGCCCAGGCTAGCCTTAAGCTTGGTATGTAGCCAAGGATGGCTTTGAACTTCTGATCTTCCTGCCTCACCGCCCCCCCCCAAAGTGCTCAGAACCCAGGTGTGCACCACCAGTGAAGTTTATGTAGCAGTGGGGTGGGAACCCAGGGCTTTATACATGCTAAGCAAGCACAACCCAGCCACATCCTCAGTCCCAGTTAGGAAAAAAACCATCTTAAGTAAAAAAAACCTGCATTTAACACACCTACACCACGAACATCATTGTCTTATGGCCTAACACACTAGTGTGCTGTAGGAAGCATGGAGGTCCTTGTGTTCACAGTTAAGTACTAGGGAAACCTGGAACGTTAAATACACAGTGCTGGTCCTTCAAAGGAGAGGATGTATAACCTCTTATCCACTCAGAAGGCTGGGGGTGGACATGGTTCATAGCCTGGTGACCTCAATGCTGGGTGGCCCCGACCCCCTGAAACCTTCCCCAGATCATGAGTTTGTTTTTTCTCAGTCTATAGAACCCGTCTTTATGGAAGGTGACCCATGCGCCTTACAAAGAGTGGCAATGTGGTCACATCTGATCTTTATTCAGCTTTGCTTGTGCTTTAGGACTGAGTTCATTATCACCGGGAAAGTTTCCACTAAATTGTGCTGTGCTTAAATTTGCCTAAAATAAACCACTCAAGGTCAGGCTCTCAAGGTTTGAACCAACACGGGCTACTTAGTGGTGCTGAACCAAACTACCTTCTTGCCTCCCATGGCTTTTTATTCTGCTTGCTGTGGTGATCACAGAGACACTCCCCCCACCCC